TTCCATTCTTTATAAATGGCCTAGTCTCATGCATTTTGTTACACCATCAGAAAACGAACTAAGACAAAAGACGACTTCTGAGTGCCTCAGTTTCATCATTTTGAGGATTGGGGATTAGGATTATTATCCTTGGATTTGTCCTAAAGAGACCAAACATGGAATATAGTGCATGAAGAGTTGAGAGTATCTGATACAATGCATGTGCATAGGTGATCTAGAGCCCGCTCTGAACCCTCCCTGGCTGATTAACTTATTCTGCCTGGCATGAAGGAATGGAGCTGTGCTCAGGATCTGTGCTCAGCAGGAAGTCACCAGGTATGCCAGTGACAGGCCAGTTCATGTTGCACACTTGCTTGGCTTGCTTCTCACAGCCTGTAGAAGCCGATGGTGAGCCCAGATACATATCATGCTGACTTATGGGGAATTTGCTGCTCACAGCAAATTCCCCATAGCCAACTATGAAAAGCCAGGCCAAACCCTGTGGGAGGAAAACAACTCAGGCTATAGATTTTCTTTTCTAGCCTTGGAGTCTTGCCATGAACGACATATAAAGAGATGTGATCTTGGCCTCTTGAAGCACCCTCTGGTACACTGGCAGGTTGATGTCACTCTTGTCCGAGGGCTGTCTCCCATCTGAGCCCTGTGCATTTCATGTGGTTGGCCCTTAGGCAGCCTGGAGTCACTTGAAGCTGCAGGAGGCTTATGGATCCAGTCTTTGGAGGTTCTTGTGGAACCACAGGGTAGTCGCCTTCTTACATGACATACTTCGAACCTGTCCCTACCCTGGCCGCCATCTTCCCCAGCCTTGCTAACAGGAAAGAATAAAACCATCAGGCTGCCCAACCCAACTCCCCACCTCTTCCCCAACATAGATGTCCGCCATCTTCCCCAGCCTTGCTAACAGAGAGAATAAAACCATCTCAGACTGCCCAACCCAACTCCCTACCTCTTCTTCCTTGCCTGAGCATTCCGGACAGCATTCCCAAACATGCAGGCTTCTCCACCCATCTGTAACTGCACCTGATCCTTCCCTGATTTGGAATGTCCCTCCCCAATGTGAAAAAAGAGCTTGTTGTTGAAAGGCAAATTCTTGGGACCCACCCCGGGTCTACTGAATCAGAGACTCTGGAAGGCAGGACCCAGCCATCTGTGTCACAATCAGCCTTGTAGGTGATTCTGGCACTCAGGCAGTAGAACACTTGTCTCATCTGTCCCTGAAACTGACCAGGTCTGGCCCAGAACTGTTGGTTGAAGTGAAATAAACTCAGTTATCTTTTTTAACTCTTCGGAGATGAGATCATACATACAAAGTAACTGGTATAGGTCCGGCACATAGTAGGCATTTCCTCCCAGGGACAAAAATGATTGCTTCAGCCTCTGGGCATGGAGCATTTTTGGAGTCAGCTGGGCTTGCTGAGGGGGACAACTAGGGCAAGCAATTCAAGGCAGGGGAAACTTAGCAACTGCTGATGTCACAATGTCCCCATTTACCCTGGATGCCCGGCTCCTGGACCACCTCAGGGCAACAGCATGAGGATGGCTGGTAAAGAGAGGACCCAGGGGGAAGTGGGATCAAGAGCACCAGGGACAGCTGAAGATAAGAAGTAAACACCGGGCAGAGGAGCATCCAAGATAGCCACAGAAGGATGGGGAACCAGAGAAACCTCTCAGGTATTGGTGGGTGGGGTCCTGTTTCCCATGCCAGTGTCCCCCAAGAGGCAGGAGAATCCTTCTGCTTAAAGGACTCTGTGTTATAGGTATTCCTTACCATCAATGATTTCCACACTCCCTTACCCCCAAGGACTCTGCAAAAATGATGTTCAAGTGCCCCATCCCCCATCCCCAGATCTCTGGTTTACTTTGTCTGCAGAGTGCTTGGGCTTGGATATATTTATAAAGATGGTCAGGTGATGCTACAGTATAGCCACAGCCAACAACTCTACTTAAACAGGAAAACAAAGCCAAACACCCCAAAATTCACATGTGTTTGTTTCCACCAGAGGGGTGGGGGTGATGATGTTATATGATGATGTACTCTATGGATGCACAACTGGGTCTTGACCCATCTCAGGACAAAAGAATGTTTAGCTAGAATTGGTCCATGCCTTTATTATTAAGAATCTGTAGGGAAGATCATGACAAGCCACCTAACCAAGAGAAGTTTTACAAAATAACAATTAATGTTCAAGTTGGTTGTTTAAATGTAATTGAGAACAAGCTATAAAATGTTTGTCAATCAAATGAAAACTAGTAAGAAATCTCATGATCAACCAAGTCACCTTGGTATAGATCAGGAGGGTGGAAAGAAAAGAGAAAAGCCTTTATGGATGAAGAGGCTGTGCTTCTTCTTGACTTGGCAAAGAATGGCCCAGAACCCAGGCACCCAGTTCAGGGAAGTAGAACCCCCAGATTCCCTAGAGTGGTTTGTCCATGTTTACAGGTTCTGTTTGGCCCTTGCCTGAGCTCTGTTGAGTCCATAGGAGGGGCTCAACCGGTGAAGCTGGTTAAGATCATGAGAAGCCAGAGGCCCTGGGTTCAAATTCAGATGATGTCACTTCTTGGGGAGATATGCCCACTGCTGGTCTATGGTCCCAGAAAGCAGGTGGCTGCACAGCTGACCTTCTGGGTCCCAAGGTCATAGTCATCCTCCAGGCATCTTGACAATCCCTGCCCACCTTGACTGTGGGTATAATTTCAGGGATGTCTTCTAAGAGCTTAGCACTAGATTTCTGCAGGGCACAAAGAGAGCTTCCTTCCCTATCGTAGAAACTTCAGGCCTGATGAAACCTGGATGCACCCCTGGGTACAGCGAGATTCTAGGATCCTTTTTGACCTCCTGGCGCTGCCACCATTAGGGGTTCCGAGTCCTCATGCTGAGCACTGTGTTCCCACCATGCTATGGGTGGCCCTGGGGTTCTCTCCTCATCCTCTTTAGGCAAAGAGAGAGCACTCAGGCTGCCGAATTGGGATGGTCTGGCGTGTGTGTGTGTGTGTGTGTCTGTGTGCCTGTCTGTGTTTCTGTGTCTATACCTGTGTATGTACGTCAGTGTACTACTGTGTCTCTCTGTGTGTCTGTGTGTGCATATAACTGCGTGTCTTTGTCTTTGTTTACAGAAGTCAGTGTTAGTGTACTGTGTCTGTTTCTTATTTTTTTTTATTTTTTAGTTGTTGATAGATATATCTTTATTATTTATTTATTTATATGTGATGCTGAGGATCGAACCCAGTGCCTCACACATGCTAGGCAAGCCCTCTGCTACTGAGCCCCAGCCCCATGTGTCTATGTGTTTCTCTGTGTCTGTTTCTCTGCACGTGTGTGTGTATCTGTGTGTGTGCCTGTGTTGGTGGGTGTCTATGTTTGTGTCTGCATATTTCTATGTTTATGTGTGTATGTTTATTTTTATTCTGTGTATCTATGTGGGGGTGTGTCGGTGTATTGGGGTGTTCTATGTCTCTGTGTGTCCATGCATTTCTATGTGTGTGTGTCTGTGTGTTTGTGTGTGTCCACTTCTGTTTCTGTGTATTTTTCCATGTGTGTGTCTGTGTGTATTGGTGTGCCTGTGTCTGCCACCTGCACTTCTTAAGTCTCAATGGCTGTGCCTTCTGCTTCTGTGTCAGCCATTGGCTCCTCCTGCCCTGTGTTGTCAGTGGTGTGTGACAGCGGCCACCAGGCCAAGGGCCGTGGTGAGTGAGGGAAAGACAGCAGCTGGTGCAGCATTCCCTGGGGGATTTTGGCAGAGAAAAGGAGAAAAATAGAAGTAAGAGGAGCTTGGGGTCAAGGGAAGAATGTTTTAGAGGAGGGGAGACTTGGAAATGTTTAAAGGCAGAAAGGAGGGGTGTAGTGGAGGGGACATTTGGAAAATGCTGATGAAGAGGGCAAAGCGAGGGGGCCTAGGAGACATGAAGAACTGGGACCACAAGTTCAGGAGAAAGACACTGAGAATCATATGCTGGTGGCTGCTGCTCAACCTCAGGACTTGTTCCCCAGCTCTGTACATGGCGGATCCTCCAGACTCTAGTGTTGCTGTGTGGGGTCAGCTCTGACAAATGCTGGAAATGCATGGGAGAAGCCATCTTAGAAAAGGCTGCTGGCACTCCAGGGTGGTGGCCGATAGGACTTAGCATTTATGGTATATGCATACTCCTGCCTCAGCTGACTCACGCCAGGGGCCAGACCTAGGCCAGGTGCTGGGCTCTGCCTTTAACAGGCTCAGCATCTACTTCTACCCCTTCCATCTCCATTCTCATCCCCAAAGTTGTCCCAACCTCACTGACACTTCACTAGAGAAAAACGAGGCCAGGAACTTGAACCCATCAAGCTCTGACCACACCACTGCCTGACATTGGTTCTTGATTTCTGTTGCCTGCTCGACCGGCTTGATGTTCAATTATGGCTTTGCCTGCTCCTCTTCTTCCTGCCTGACTTAGACCTTCGCTCATCAAACTCTAGCCAGTTTTTGCATCTCGGTTCAGACTTTTCCACCAGCTACTGAACCCTGGCTGGACCCCAGCCCTGGACCCAGGACCTTCTGGGCCTTCCCCCAGTCCCAGTTGTCCTCAGGCCACCCAAGTCTCTAATGACGTTTAGGCAGGAAAATAGACTCAGGAGAAGGTGTTGAGAAGAAGGTATTTTAAGTCAGGATGACCAGCATAGCATCTGATGTCCTCCAGCCCCCCAGTAAATAGAAATAAACAACAAAATTAATGTAGTGTGTAATGGGGTGTTCTATGTCTCTGTGTGTCTATGCATTTCTATGTATGTGTGTCTGTGTGTGTTTGTGTGTCCACGTCTATATCTGTGTATTTTTCTCTGTGTGTGTCTGTGTGTATTGGTGTGCCTGTGTCTGCCACCTGCACTTCTTAAGTCTCAATGGCTCAATGTAGTTTCGATTTGCATTTCCCTAATTGCTAAGGACAAGGAACATTTTTTTTTTCATATATTTGTTGGCCATCCTTATAGAGGATGGCAGCTAACAGAGTAGCACCTATGGCTCACAGAGATGGAACTGCGTGGTGGAATGCGCCAGGAAGCCATCGAGAAAGGAATAGATGTTGGCCAAGTTTCAGTGAGTGCCTGGTTGAAACCAGACACCAGGAATGTGTAGCAGATCAGGCTTGTTGCCTGGAAATACTTGGCCTACTTTAATATTAATTTTTGTTGTTTATTTCTAAAATAAATATTTGTTTTACCTTGGTAATTCCTAAGGTTTTTAGGAACATGGGAAAGAATGATTTTTGTTCTGGTTTTAGACACTTTTGGCCTTAGAGAGACGGGCCAACTCATCAATTGCAGTCCAAAAGTCAGTGGCCAATGGCCAGGTCTGTTTCTTTTAGGAGGTGCAGGCTGCCCAGCTGTACCTCTGCAGTTTTTATTGTCACACTCATAAATCCCTATCTCCTACCCGGTTTCCCCCTTGTTCTCCACCACCACACCTGATCGCTTCTCCCACTCCTCCATCCAGGGCTCCTGACAGTGCAAAGGAGAATTTCCCCTCCCCCCACCCCCCAACACCCTTACTGATAGCCCTGCAGTCACACCCTGTATCCATGTCTGTCTTGGATGACATCCATCCATTCTTCTAGATAATCTTTCATTCCCTCCTTCCAGAAATTTATGTCCCATTCCTGTCTACCACTTCCTGCTCCTTTCTCCTGCTTTGCCATCTAGGTATTTTCAAAAGAAAAATCAAAACTCCATTTTCAAAAATCAAAACACACGTTTTCTTTATTCGTTCTTCTACTGATGGACACTTCAGCTGGTTCCATAACTTGGCTATTGTGCATTGTGCCCAACTATCCATGTATCACTACATTGGCCACTGAATTTAGTTCTTTAGGGTAAATACCCTAAAGAGTGGTATAGCTGGGTCCTGTGGTGGTTCCATTCTTAGTCTTTTGAGAAACATCCACGATGATTTCCATAGGGGTTATACAAATTTATTAACTTAAATTCCTACCAGTGGTGTATATGAGTTTCTCCCTGCCCCCCCACCACATCCTCACTAGCATTTGTTATTATTTGTATTCTTGATGGCTGCCGTTCTAACTGAAGCGAGATGAAATATCAGTGTAGTTTAAAAAAATTTTTTTTTTTAGTTGTAGATGAACACAGTACCTTTACAATACCTTTATTTTATTTATTTTTATGTGGTGCTTAGGATCGAACCCAGTGCCTCATGCATGTTAGGCAAGCGCTCTACCACTGAGCCACAATCCCAGCCCCAGTGTAGTTTCGATTTGCATTTCCCTAATTGCTAAGGACAAGGAACATTTTTTTTTCATATATTTGTTGGCCATTTGTATTTCTTTATGAAAGGTCTGTTTAGTTCATTTATCCATTTATTGATTGTGTTATTTGTATTTTGGTTTTAAGTTGTGGCATATGTACACAGTGAAATTTTACACAGCTATAAAGAAGAAGGAAATTGTGTCATCTACAGGGAAATGGATAGAACTGGAGATTATCATGTTAAATGAAATAAGCCAGACTTAGACACTCCAGGGTCATGTGTTTTCTCTCATATGTGGAAAATTAGAAATAAAAAAGGAAAAATAAAAGATATTTCATGAAAATAGAAGGGAGACCAGTAGAATCTACCACTGGGGATTGAAGGTGAGGGGCATGGCAGGAAGAAAGACAAGAAAAGAAAGGTACTGGAGAGTGAAATTGACCAAATTATGTACATACATTGACCAAATTTTGTTATATACAAATATTACAATGAATCCCATTATTTTGTATAATTAAAAGACACCAGTTTTTAAAAAAACCCACATAATTTGTCAAAAGATGGGAAAAATGAAATAAGAGCAGACATAAGATTCAAAACACTAGTGAAATTAAATGTAATAATTATAATAATTCACCATTTGTTTATAAATCCTATATAATAGCAATTAAATCCAATTCAGATTATTTTGGGGGCATGTACATAAATTTTTAAAAAATTTTGAAATATGCCTAAAGTTCACAAAGAAAGACATAAAGCTCACTTCTTTGTGATTGGCCAGAAGTGGATGCTGGGTAACACCCACCCACATTGAGATGTCAGACATTGCTATTAGGTCTCATCAATAATGCCCACTCTAGTTCTCAGAGGTGAGTAGAGACATCCTTTTAGTATCTTCAGGGGTTTTATTTCAGGACTCCAGTGGACACCAAAATCCATAGACACTCAATGCCCTTATATAACATGGAATAGTATTTGCATACAATCTAGGCACATCTTCCTGTGTACCTTAAAATCTTCTCTAGGTTACTTATAAAATTGAATACGTGTAAATGCTATGTAAATTGTTAGGAAATTATTTAGAGTAGAAAAAGATTTCTTTAAAATGACACACAAAAAAGTCTGTACTTGTTCTTGTTCAGTACAGGTACAAAACCCCATTCTGAGTATTTTGGATTTATGTTTGCTTGAATTCTCAATGGATACAGAACCTGTAGATATGGAGGGCTAATTGTATTCTCTAGAATGCATAGTAATTGTGGCCTTGATCAAACAAGTGTGTTAAGATCATATTTTGCCTATTTTTTGAACTTTTATGTAAATATACTTCATTTGACTCTTTGGTGCCTATTTTCTCCCCCATATTTGTAAGATTTATATTTGTGAGATTCGGTGAAGTGGTTGCACATACGTATAACTTATTACTTTTAAATGCTGTATAGTATTTTATTAAATGACTATACCATTGTGTATTTATTCATTTTGCTTCAGTGGGGATTTGGATTATTCTAGTGTTTGGTTATTATAAGTAGTGCAGTGATAAACATTCTTGACCCTGACCTTGTATTTTTATGCTAGACATATCTGAACCTAGAAGTGGAATTGTAAAGTCAAAGGGTGGGATGTTGTAGAGGATGTCAAAATGACTTTAATTTACGTTCCCAATGGAAGTGTTTGAGTGTTCTCATTACTCTACATTTTCACCCCAATTGGGTAGTATCCATTTTAATGATTTTAGCCCTTTTTGGGGGAGCCACAGTGGTTTCTCATTACAGTGTTAACGCAAATTTTCTGAGGATGAGTACATTTTATTTATTTTACCCTTCGATTATTGTCTTTTGTACATGCCTAATTAAGGTCTCTTGGTCAATTTTTTTTTCTCCTTCTTTTCCTTGTTTCTTTTTTCTCCTGCCTTTTTATTATTGATAGCTTTTTGTTTTAAATCTCCTGTAGACAAGCCTTTTTTGCTCACATAGAGTTTACAAATCTTCCATTCTGAGTCTGGCCTTTCATTCTTTTAATAATGTCTTTTGATGGACAGCAATAAGGCATGAAGATATTTTCTTCTGTTGTCTTCTAGAAGCTTTATTGTTTTACTTCAAACTGTTAGAACTGTGACCCACCTGCCAAGTGTGATGGCACACACCTGTAATCCCAGCAACTTGGGAGGCTGAGGCAGGAGGATCACAAGCTCAAAGCCAGCCTTAGCAACTTAATGAGGCCCTAAGCAACTGAGCAAGGCCTGGCCTCTAAGTTAAAAAAAAAAAAAAAAAATATATATATATATATATATATATATATATATATATATATATGGGCTGAGGATGTGCGTCAATGGTTAAGTGCCTCTTGGTTCAATCCCTGGTTTCAAAAAACAAAATGAAACAAAGCAAAAAACAAAACAAAAACAAATAAAAAACCATGACCCACCTGGAATTGCTTTTTGTTTATAGTAAGAGGGTGGGCATTAAATATAGTTATTTTTCCATCTTGATATTCAAGTGATCTAGCATCATTCATTGAGAACAGTGTCTTTTACTCACAGCTCTGCAGTACCACATAGGAATGGGTCTTTTCTGGGCTTTCAGTTTGTGGTGGTGTTTATTTACCTGCTGTTACAACAATATTATGCTATTACACTGTCTCAATTGCTGTAGCTTACAATAAGTTTTGAAATCCAGTATAACAGGTTCTTCAAATAGATTCCTCTTCAAGATTGACTTCTTTACTCTCAGCCCTTTCTATGTACATATGAATTTTAAAATCAATTTGTCAGTGTCTACAAAAATTCCTGTTAGGATTTTGATTAAGATTGCATTGAATATATGGAACAATTTTAGGAAAACTGACATTTTTAGAATGAACATTTTATACCCCTCCATTTCCATTTATTTAGAACTTGGGTTCTCTCCTGCCTCAACCTCCTGAGGAGCTGGGATTTTAGGTATGTTAAAAAACAAAAACAAAAACAAAAAACACTGGTTTAGGAATCAGCTTGACTTGTTTTGCATTCTAACCTCACCTTTAATAAATATGTGACTTTGAGAAAGTGAGTTAATTTTTCTGAGCTCATTTCTTTAACCCAGAGATACTAACTCACAGGTTTATAGTAAAGACTTACAGGGAACAAGAAGGTGACATCTTGCTGCACGTGGACCCTCATTAATGGCTTGTTTTTGCATTCGCCATCTTCATTTCCTCCTTTCCCATTAACTCCACTGCCTTCTGATTCTGATTTTTCTTGTCCTCTTATAAGCTTATAATGTCGACTTCAATGGGCACATTTGGTCCTTGAATTTCTTGATGTATTTGTGGCCCTTGACATTAGTCTCCTTGGCTTCCTGAGGTCCCACTTGCCCAGTTCTCCTCTCAGGAGTCTCTTTCTCATGTATTCAAATGCTCGTGATTCATTTCCTATCCCTTTCTTCATTTCATGCTTTGGGGTTTGCGAAGGAGAGTGATCTTTGGTTTCACTTCTTCCAGATCTACAATTATGATCATCATCTCAGACTCCAGTTACACACTGGGGATTGCTACCTGAATTTTCTATAATGTCAAAAATGCAACTGAGTATTTTACCCCCAAGCCCTCTTTTCCTTCTCTGTTGCCTGCTCCATCTCTTGCTGCTCCATCACCTGAGCCAGACACCTGAGCCCAATCTAGACCCCTCACTCTCCTTCCTCCCTGTAGTTAATAGCCATTGCATTTACCTCTCTGCCTTCATTCTCTTGGTCATTTCCATGATTTAGTCTCTCAATTTTTTCCCCAGTTGGTAAACAACTTCTTCAATGATCCCCTCCTTCAGCCTTGCTTGTCTCCAACTTATTGTTATAATGAAGCCAATAGAAATCAAAGTAAGATGTTCCTAGGTGCTGTGACAATCTCCCACAACTCAGGGGCTTAACATTAAGTTTATTTCTCACTACCAAATTCAGTTGGATGTTTTGTCATTGATTGCTCTGCAGTGCTTCAGGGATCCAAAGTCCTTCCAGCTTGGAGGTTTAGCAATCTCCTGGGATCTTGGATTCCTTTCTTTCTAATCTATGAATGGAGAAAGAAACAGAGTGAAGGGTGGAGAATTTTTGAGCCAGGTCTGCAGGTTGCAAGAACTCAGACAACAAGGCTCTAGCTAGATACAAAGCACAGAGAGGAAGGAGAGGTGGGAAACAGAGTTTTCAGCTGGGCAGCTGCTTACTTGTAACAAATTGGTACTCAGGAAGGGAATCCTGAGGAACAGCTGCATATTTCTGCCTCAGGAATCTTTGTAAAATGCTAAACTGATATGCCACTTCCTATTCAAAGTCATTCAACAGTCACCATGATGCCTGTAAGAGAACTCTTGAGAATGAACATTCCAGGCAGAGGAAACAGCTTCGTGGTTGACTCCACTCTTGCTTACAATCTCATTTCTTACAACACTTTGCCCCAACCCATGTGCACCCTATGTGTTGGCCACCGCTTTAGAAGTTCCCTAAGTATGTTATGCTCACCTTGCTCTTGTTCAGCTTGACCTGCTACTCGTCTTTGAGAGGACTCAGATCTCCTGCTTGCTTCATTCTTACCTTCAGCTAATCTTTGCTTTATGCTTTTTGCTTCAACAATATTGAAATCCGTTGTACTTTTTAAAAACCATGCACTATATTTTAACTTTCTCCTCAAGTTTCCCTTATTTTTCTTCCTTTTCTTGTCTCATTAATGTCTAATCATTATTTACAACTTAACTCAGGTATCATTTCTCCCAAGAAATCTCCTCTGGATCCTTCTCCTTTGCTGACCTGGGTATTTCCCTCTGATCTCATCAGTTGCATTTCTCTCAGAGCAGTAATGCTCAGTATTGCCCTCAGCTATCCTCTTGGTATTCTAGGAGAAAAAGACTGTTTACTCTAAGGGATTTTTAAGATATAGTCCCTTAGACAAGTGACATTGATTTTCACCTCTGAATTTGTCAGAAATACAATTTTCTGGCCCATACTCCAGAACTGCTGATTCAGAAACTTGTAGGAGTGGTTAGATTCCGTGATCTGTATCCTAATAGGCTCTCCAAGTTGTATTGGCACTAAGGAAGTGGACCACTCTCTCATTTATCTCTGGACCTAGAACTCTGTAATACTCTCTGTAACTATAACTCTGCCAGGTCTGGTCCAGAATAATTATTTTTTGAAATAAAACAGATCAGGTTATTCACCTCAGGAAGTCGTCTTGATTTCCTGGGCTAGATGAGAATTACTCCTCTTTTTCCTCATGATATCTCCCCTACTCTCAGGCAAGCTATAGTGGGACTACAGACAGTGACATCCTTAAAGACAGCGATTATACTTTCTATGCCTGTAGTGCATACAGAGTATGTCATCAGTGATTATTTATATAGTTCTATGTCCTGGGATATATGTGAAGGAAAAGACAGATAAGTTCCTTCCTTTCGTGGAAATTAAATTCAGAGAGGGCTGGTAGAAAAAAAATTGTAAATGAACAAATGTAAAATAATTTAAGATAGTGATAACACACTGTAATGAAAATAAAATAAGGTGATGTGATACAGATCCAAATGACCAAAAGCCAGGTGGAGGGAGTAGCTGGAGTTTGTTAAGTCTGAGGTGACAGAGACAGATATACACACTTGAGAAGTGGACAGAGTCAGCCCATGGTACAAGTTTGGATTGCATCCTAAGCGTTCTGGAGGGATTTTTAGGTTGGGGAGTGACTTGCATACTGATGCACGTTTTGGAAAGATCACTCTGGCTGCTTTATATATAAAATAAATTATATGGGGCAAGAGTTAAAGCACAGAGTCCAGTTTGGATACAAGGTGGATATCAAGGCAGCACCAGGAACATGGTGTTTGATCACGTGAATCCTGGTACCAACTATCCAAATCCTGTTTCCACGACAGCAGACATAGGGCTTTGGCAAGTCGCTCAACCTTTCCATGCCTCAACTTTACCATCTCTAAGGGGATAGTAGTAGCACTTAACTCATATATTTATTGGAAATTTCAATGCATCAATACGCATAAAAGATGGGCACCCCTTGTGTGAATTATTTTTATCGTTAGTTGTAGTTGTTGAAGAATGGAGAAAACAATGGATTTAGGATTTTTCTACAGGCTAAGTGGACATGCTGATAAATTGGATCAGGAGGCAGAGGATAAAACAGAAAAGACCCTTGGTAATCTTGACATCAAATTCGTTAGTGGTGCTGTTGAATAAAATTGAAGTGAAGGAGCAGGTTTCTGTATGTGGTGGAGGAGAAGGGTGTCGAGTCCAGCTTGAGTAACGTAGGTCTAAGGTCCCTATAGCATATCCTGGAAGGGATGCCTGGTGGGAGGTTGGATAGAGAAGCCTGGAGTTGAGCGAATAGTCAGGGGCTAGAGATACATCCAAGAGAGTGTATAGATGATGATAGGTACTCAGGACAGAGCCTGGGGCTCCTTTTGCTCCAAATATTGGGCAGAGAAGCAGAAGGCAGCAAAGAGCGTGTTCTACTCAGGTGATAACCTGGAAGAAAGTGGCATGTTCAATTGCTGCCAATAGGTCTGACAAGATGAGCACTAAGTATGAAGGAGATGATTGAGCTTGGGCATATGGAAATCATCTACAGAATGAATAAATTAAATTTGACTTTATTGGTTGGTGCTTTATTTAAAAAAATCAACTCAATTAGAAAAGCCTGCTTGTCTAATTTCCTTGATACCCACCCAAACTTAGCTGAGGGAGTCCCTGTAGACAGTAGTACAGACAACCTTCTCAGAGCTGTCTTGTTAAGAATGCAGAGCGAGGCACCCACTGGAGGGTTGCTGCAAGTCAAAAGCAACTCCAGCTCTCGTGTGGCTCAGTCTGGAGGGAGGCTTCCTGCCTGTTCTTCAAAATAAAGTTTTAGACATCACTACTAAAGAGAGACCAAATGAAGGTGGAAAAAGTATGTCTGAAATTGGAATAAAAACTTTCCACTGACATCAGTTTGGCACAGCTGTCCTGGGTCGAAGAGCATATGAACACTCGCCTTTTCTGTGACCTCTCCCTAGAGCAAAGTGTTACACTTTTGGATTTTCTCTGTTCTCCAATGTAAGGTGGTGACAGACTCAATCAGTGGTTCTCAAACTTTGGTGGGCAGAGGAATCCCCCCTGGATGACTTGTGAAATACCGATGGCTGGACTCTGTCCCAGAGTTTCTGTTAGTGGCCAGGGTGGAACCAGAGAAATTCTATTTCCCACAAACACCCCCATGCTGCTACTGGGGCTGCTTCTGTCCCAGGACCACCCCTCAGCAACTTCTGTTCTAGATTATACACACTTCCTGAGAGCAGGGATAGCATCCTTCTTGCCACTTGGCTTGGAAGGAGTACTCAGTATATTTTTATAAATGAATGGATTAAACAAGCCCTTGAACTTGGCTATCAAAATCCTTGGGCTTGACTTTGGTGGATCCCACAGGGCTCAAGAATGGAATGAGTGAGGTAATGATGAAAGTCAGAAAGCGATGGACTACCATGTTGAATATTTAATGATTTGCTTGTTTGGCCACTTCCTAAAGACCTGATTTGCTGCTGTTGTTGCCCTTAAACTTCTTGGCAGCCCCTCCACTAAGTAGGACCCTATTCAGATCTTTGGGTGGCTTAGTGGCTTCCTTACTCCATTTTCTATTGCTATAACAAAATACCTGTGACTGGGCATTTTATAAAGAATAGAAGCTTATTTGGCATATAGTTCTGGAAACTGAGAAGTCCAAGAGCATAGTACTGCTGTCTGTTTAACATCTGGTGAGGGTCTTCCCTGGTGAATCACACCATGGCAGAGGACATCACGTGGAGAGACAGAGCCAAACCTGCTTTTATAAAACCCACTTTCAAGGTAACCCATTAATCCATTAACCCATGAATGGATTAATCTATTCATTAGATCAGAGCCCTCAGGTCCTAAGCACATTTAATACTTCATCTGAGTTTGGGTGAGGACGTTCAAGCAGTGTCCATCTTTGGACTCCTACTTGAACCATTTCCAATTATGGGCTTCCTTCCACACTCTATGAAAAACCTTCCATTAATTTGGTGAGGGGGATTTTACGCACCACTTTAGGCAGAGGGACCCAGAGACACAAATGATTAAAAGTGAAACATCTTTCTGGATAAAGCAAGTCCTTTCTCCTTACTCTCCAGAGTTAGAGGAAATGAGGCGGGGACCTTGGCACATGGCTGTTGAGAGATGGAATTAGTTAAGCCTCAGTCAAAGTGAAATGAATGTCGGTGGCCACATCCCATCGAGCAAGCACACACATCTTTTGGTTAAAAGGACTGCACCCTTGCCCCTGCACAGAGCAGCCTTTCACAGCCTGCTGGGAGGCAAAGGAAATGGAAAGTCCCACAGCATCCTGAGCCCCTCTCTGTTTCAGGAGGGTGACTCTGCTTCCTTTGATTTTCACAAGCTCAAGGACCATGCCGGTCTTTTGCACAGAAATTGAGTCCTGGGAGAAATACCCAGTTCTTGAGCCAGCAGCTGCAGACAGGATTGCCCATGTTGCCCCAGGAGGGAAGAAGCCTGTGTGTGCTGACCCCCTACCTAGGCTGGTGCCTGGGTTGGCCAGAGAATAAGCTGGTGGATCCCCTCCAGAGCCTCCCTTGTCTGTAGCCCCAAAGCAGAGCGAGGGCTTAGCGGGGGCTTTTCTGAGAAGCTGCTGAGCTCAGACCCTGTGGCTCTACATTCCTGCATGATGAGGGCGGGATTCCAGTGTTTACTTTGAACAATGTTTTCCTGTGTCTGCATGGACGGAGTGTTAAATTCTTCCAGATTTCTGGCTCCACACGTTACAACTTCGAAGGGACAGGAACAGGTTTACGGCAGTTGGCAGTTGGCAAGGGAGTGAAAGCAGGGTCAGTCTGGGCACCCTCTGCTTCTAGAATTTCCACTCTGGGGATGGAGAAGAGACGGGTCAGGGCCGGGCTCTGTGGTTCTCCACGCCTGGGAGGGGTTTGTTTGTGGTCTGGATTCGCAGAGCTCTCTGTGCCTGTGCCTGTGCCTTTCACATTTCCCACCCTAGAGGGCAAAAGTTAGCTTTTTTTCCTCTTTGGAAAGGCATCCGGGAATGAGAACAAGCTTGAGTGTTGAAGGTCAGGGCTTGCAGTATTTTCTCAGTTAGTATAAACCCAGAAGTTGGGCTCATAAGGAATTCATTTGGTGGGATGTTAGGAAACTTTAGTGCATTCCAGTACATGGAGCCTTGCTGTGCAAGGAGTTTTTTTCTTTTTTCTTTTTTTTTTCTTTGACTGAGTATTGAACTCAGGAGTGCTTTACGACTGAGCTATATCCAGTCCTTTTTATTTATTTATTTATTTTTATTTTGAGACAGGGTCTCTCTAAATTGTTGAGGCTGGCCCTGAACTTGCAGTCCTCCTGCCTCAGCCTCCTGAGTCACTGAGTCACTGGAATTACAGGCCTGTGTGTCACCACAGCCTGCAAGGAGGTTTCAGGGAGAAGCCAGAGATTAGTGTTAGATGGGAGATAGGGTGTGGCAAACCCCAACCCTTATTCTTATCCAGGAGGAAACAGAGGTATAGAAAGGCAGAATAACTTGGGGCTAGAGTATTGCCCCGGAAGGAGGTCAGATCTCTCAGAACGGTGCAATACAAGGAACCTGGTATGGTAACTGTCACTGGAGGAGGTCTGAAGAGTTCCTGGAGAGGGGACCCCAACTCAGAATGAATGGGGTTCTTGACAAACATCTCAGAAAGTTCTTGAGAATCATCATAGAAACAGATTTAAGGACGTGTCAGAGACACAGAGTTATTTAGGAAATCTGAGATATATATATTCTAGGGAAAACGTGGGCCATCTTGGGAGCTAGAGGGCCACTTTGTTGGGGGGAGTGGGTCCCAGGCTTTTCTTTTAACGAAAACATGGTGAGGGGTTGGCATGGGAAGGTATGTGAGGATGATATCATTCTGGTAATGACGAGATGGTTTATGGTTGTCATGGCCACTCTCAAGATCCTTGCAAGAAAGGTAGAAAAGTACCAGGTTTCTGAAATATCGTATTTCTCTTTGCTTAATCTTTTTATTATATAATTATTTTATTAGGGTAATTAACACTATGCAAGGCAATTTTCATAAGTGGATGGATTTACAGTGACTCTAAGATTTACAGATGTCCCAGAAGTTTACGAGTGACCGGCCTGGGAGAGAGAAAACTGATTGGGGGAGTGACAGGCCTGGGGAGAAGTGTACGTGGAACTTGAGCATCAGGCTTCCAGACTCAACTTGGGTTTCCTTATCCTTCTTTTTGTTTCCTTTCTACCTATTTTTAATTTTTTTTTTCTATCCTACCTCAGTTACCTGGATCGACTGCCAACTCTGAAGGAGATGACCACACAATCACTCCAGGCCATCAGGGACATCCTTCATAGAGAACTTTAGAAGACCAAGAGGATCAATTCAAAGATAAAGGTTCTGCTCAGGTCCATCATGCATAATCAAGTCATGCGCAATCAACAATTTCTTCATTCTTGTGTTCTGGGAGGATGTTTTGGTTCAGGGAAAATTCTAATGGTACTCTGTGATGACGTTGGACGGTGGCCCCGTGGATCCTTTGGCAAATCTCCAGTCTCCAAGCAGGTGCCTTGCAACCTCTTGACCAGAGCAGCTCCAATCCAACAAGGCAGATAATAACCCTGAAACTCACTCCATTCTAGACATTCTAAACCCACCTCTGAGGTCCTTCCGTGGTTAGGGGGTGTATGCTTATGTATACGCACATAATAGGCAGGAAAGGAAGATTGGAGGTAATCTTCCTGGCTTCAGGGCTCAACTAGAGCTCAAATGGCATTTATGTAGTGGTGTTGGATAAAACAATCCTGTGATAGGACTTGGCTTTTTTTTTTTTTTTTGAGGTATCAGGGATTGAACTCAGAACCTCACTCATGCTAGGCAAGTGCTTTACCTCTAGTAACATCTCAAACTCTTTTTATTTTATTTTTTTTTAAGACAGGGTCTGTCTCAGTTGTGAAGCTGGTCTCTAAGTTGTGATCCTCCATCCTCAGACTCCTCCTGAGTTGCTAGGATTACAGGTGTCTACCACCAGGTCCGGCAGACTAGGTGTTTTGATCTAATTACTTTCACAAAGCCATTTTTACTTGGTCTTCAGAATTTTTTTTTTTTTTTTTTTTTTGAGAGAGAGAGAGAGAGAGAGAATTTTTTAAAAATATTTATTTATTTTTTTAGTTTTTTTGGCGGACACAACATCTTTGTTTGTATGTGGTGCTGAGGATTGAATCCAGGCCGCACGCATGCCAGGCGCGCGCGCTACCACTTGAGCCACATCCCCAGCCCCTTCAGAATTTTTTTTTTTAAAAGCCCACTAAAATTTAAGTTATCTGTATCCATCAAGCAATGTGAGACAAGCTCCATAACTTCACATTTGGGCCTCCTCATGCCTTATTCTATCCTAGTGAAATTTCACCTGCTGCTGCCAGAACAAGAAGCCCTTCTCTTCCTCAGTCTCATAGGTGGGATTTTTCCTTGGACAGGTTGGGCCTTGTATGGTTATTTCTTGCTGTGTAACAAGTTACCCCTTTGGGGGTAATTAGTTGCTTAAATAAATATTTTTATCTTACAGTTTCTGTGGGTCAGAAATCTGGGTGTGTCTTTACTGTCTGCCCTGTCTCAGCATCTCTTCATGAGGTTCCAGTCATAATTTTTTCTGGGGCTGTGGTCTCATCAGAAGGCTTGATAAGAGGAGAATCCTCTTCCATGTTCATTCTCATGATGATGGACAAGATGAAGTTTCTCTTGGGCCGTTGAATCAAGGGCTTCCATTCCTTGCTGACTCTTGACTAGAAATCTCCCTCAGTTCCTTGTCACATGGGCCTCTCTATGAGGCAGCTTATAATATAGCAGCTGGTATCCTTCCCAATGGACAAGAGAGAGGGGAAATGTGTGAGAGAGCCCTCAAGATGGAAATCAACACTTTTGTAACCTAATCTCAGAGATGATATCCTCTCACTTTGACTATATTCTGTTTGTTAGAAGTGAAAGGTACTAGATACAGCTCATACTCAAGGGGAGGGGATTCCACAAGGATATGAATAGCAGGAGCTGAGATCATTGGGAGCCATCTTGCAGTCTGCCTATCATGGGTCTTAAGAGGCCTGTTGCTTATGAACTCCTTTAGCTTGTGGACCCTGTAACCTAACAGGTCTGATAAACCATGTGTTATAAGGGGTGGAGAGAAATGAGTTCCTTGTTTACCCATATTCTTTCTGCAAGGTGGGTTCCTTTGTTGGCTTAGCATCCCAGAGGAACACATAATTCTGATTTTCTAAACTAGTTATTTATATTCAACCTCCATTCCATCTCACCTCCACCCTAAGTAAAGCAGGGGGAGCCCAAGACACCACCAACACCAGCCACTCCCTGTCTGTGGACACTGTCACTGTCTCAACAATTTAACATTTCTGCTCTCTCTGGAGTTCATCTGGTTTTTACCCTGGAAAGCAATGCTATTTATCTTTCTTGTTACCAAAACAAACCCCAGTTATAAATCAAAGAACAACAATTTATACCAATAGTTCAGAGTTCTTGGACCTCACTACAAACTAATAATTATAAAGTACTTTATGGATCACATTAGTTGAATCACAATATATCCCATGAGGCAGGATGTTGCCATCTTGAATATGAAAAAATGGAGGTTCAGCATGATTAAGGAACTTGCTCAAGATTCCACATAAAGAGGTGAAGCTGGAGGCTAAAACTAGTTTTCCTGACTTCAAATTTTTTGCTCCACCCCGCATCCCCTTTAACATTGTTTGCATACCTAAGTCTCCTGATTATTTTCAGTAGGAATCTGGCGAGACTTCTTGGCCCAGTTTTGCTCATTAAGTCATTCTAGACCAAGGCTTCAGTGATCTGAGAGGAGAGAAATAGAACTCAGCTGGGAAGAGGGATATCAAACTTTGGGAGGATTGCCTGGAGATGGCACAGAGTAGATACAGTTGCTGACCTTGGAGACTTAAGTGTGCATGTGTGTGTGTTTATTCACATGCATGTGCACACTTTTAGACATACATGTATGTGTGTTTTGTAGACTTTCTCATGCCAGGGACTATGTGAGTGTCCTAATCAACCTATGTGTGTGTGTGTGTGTGTCTGTGTGTGTCTGTGTGTATGTACCCATATGTGACTGCAAGTGGACACAGATGCCTCAGACCTGCCTGGCAAGTTATCCATATATATTTTCTATGTAGCTAGCAGTTATGTTTTGTTGTATATTTTATATATATATATATATATATATATATATATATATATATATTTATTTGTGCTTAGATTCATGTGAAACTGATAACTAAAGAATTATCCCCAATTTTGAGTGACCTTTTTATTGACCTCTAGGAAAAGGGCCATTGTTATTTTTCACTTTTAATTATAGTTCACAGTTTTCTATATATTCAGCTGGGTTCAGGGATGAACTCCATGAAGTACTTTTTGGTGAGCAGATGGTATAATACCTTAAACATCTTGAAACTTAAAAAGTAATGTGGATGGGATACAATGGATGATGTGGGGATGGCAGTATGGCAGCAGCTGTGTTGAAGGGTCCCCAAAGCATGTCTTCTAATTACCCATTGATCTAGTCTCTTTGCTGATTTTCAACTTAGTGGCTCATTTTTGGTGAGATGAGTTTTTGTTCCTAATTTCTCAGGCCTGATCATTGGACCTCATTGTTTCGGCATCGTGGAAGGAAGACATCACCATCCTGCATATTAGTGATGCGGTTAACAGCCCAACCAAGAGGCTCTTACCTTGTGCCTCAGCCCTGTGCTCAATGCTTTATGTGAATTACCTTATTAAATCTTTGTGACCATCCAAGGACAGTT